GTGTTGACTGGTGGTGGTGTTGGCTGGTGGTGGTGGTGGTGGTGTTGACTGGTGGTGGTGTTGACTGGTGGTGGTGATGGTGGTGGTGTTGGCTGGTGGTGGTGTTGACTGGTGGTGTTGGCTGGTGGTGGTGTTGGCTGGTGGTGGTGGTGGCCACAACCACCCACTCCGGTCAGTTTTGCTTAATCCCACGCAGCAGCAACGATCGAAGCATCCGCCTCTCGTGGCGGGTTTCGGAAGTCGTGGGTTTAGAGCTTGGATGAGTGGTGACCATCCATGGCTTACCAGGAGTTTGCGTGCCACGGTGGCGAGGCGTTACCTACCTCGCCCGGTATGCAGGAAGGTCATGGGTTCGATCCCGACGCCTGTGTATTTTGAGTTTGCGCGTTTTCCCCATGGCCGCGTGGATTTGTATCCGGGTCCTTCGGTTTTTACCCCCACATTTAGAATCAACGCGCGTTTCGAGTATTTGGCTGCTAGGAATTTCCCCCGTAATAAGACACTTCCCTGCGCTATAATTTGTGCTGGCCAGGTCGCTTCTGAAAAATATCTATATAGCTGAGTGAGCCTTACCTGGTGAAATAAAAAAAATAGTTTAAATCTTGACTTAAAGCTTTCGTGACTGCAGGAATTCATATTCTTTGGGTCTTTCGGTAAAGCTACGTAGATAGAAAAAAAATATCACGACGTTTAGATCGCAACACAAGCAATTGCCATCGGGTGAAAAAAATATAGCGGAACAGCTGCTGAGGCAGCAAAAAATATAGGAAAACAAAAATTCCCTGCCTCAGCAGCTCTCCCCCTATATTTTTTCACCTGATGACGATTGCTTGTGTTGCGATCGAAATGTCGTGATCTTTTTTTATTTTAAAAATATTTTTCTATCTACGTGGCTTTACCGAAAGACCCAAAGAATATAAAAAAAATAATAGTTTAGTTTCATGAGTTTGTTCAAATAAAAATGTGTTTCCTTTATAGTTTTGTAGCGCGGGGGCTGTGAGATGGGCATTGCTTGGGGCCACCACCACCCTCTCCGCATGTCCCGGGTGTGATTTCTCCAGGACCTCGGCAGCTCGCAACGACTCACCACCACCACCAACAACCCATCCTCCTCCTCCTGCTGGCGCTGATGCCGCAGCGCCCGGAGGGTGCGCCATGGCTGGGTTGGGCCCCCACGCCTGGCCCGGGTATGGGGACCGCTGCTCCATGGGAGGCGCGTGCGTAGGGTAGGGGGCGCTGGACTTGGAAGGGTCCCCGTGGTTGGGCTGTGGGTTTGGTGAAGCCATCGCTGTCTCTGGCTGCATCCACTCAGCACGCACCACGGGGGGGGGGGGGGGGGGGGGGGGGGGGGGGGGAGCGTTAGCCTTCACGGTGATGAGATGTTATCCCCCTCGCCTGGTATGCAGGAGGTCGTGGATTCGGTCGGTCCCGAACCTGACGCCTGCTGTATATTTGGAGTTTGCGTGCCTCTCTCTCTCTCTCTGCCCCGTGATCGCGTGGATTTTTGTCCGGGTCCTACAATTTCCCCACCCCCTCCCACATTCATAAACACGCGTTTTTTAGATTGATGGTCTGCTCTAAGTGTCCACGTGACAAGCCACTTTGTTGACCTATTTGTGGCCGGGTCGCTTCTGAAAAGAAGAGCGAATAACTGGGTGGGTCTTGACTTAAAGCTTTCGTGACTGCAGGAATTCATATTCTTTTGGGTCTTTCGGTAAAGTCACGTGGATAGGTTCAAATCAAATAACAAACAAAAAAACTAGGACGTTTCGATCGCAACGCAAGCGGTCGTCATGATGAACCTATCTACGTGACTTTACCGAAAGACCCAAAGAATAATGGGTGGGTCTTACTTGGTTAAAATTAAAAAAAAAATAGTTTGGAAACGGCGGCGATCCAAAAACGACTGTTGATCGACTTTAACAGTGGTCGTTTTACCCGGTTAGCCGTCGTTTTAACTGCCGAAAGATCGAATTCAACTGCAGGGAGATCTCCGAATTGCAAATCCCGGTGAGCCGAATCTTACAGCATCACGCCAATCGTGCATGCTCTACACGTGGTCGCGTGCGGACGCCCACGAGGTTTTCTCGATGGGCTCATTCATTGCAACGGGAGCACGTCGGCTTCACAAGAATCAAGGTCAGGCAAAACTCCCTCGAGGGGGGAAACGGAGCTCTCTCCGTGACACCTGCTACAACCGTGCAGTGCCTTTTTGTTGTTGTTGTTGTTGGTTATAGGTGAGCACAGACCGGGTTTAAACCCGACCACGCACCTGCAAACTGTCGCACAGAAGACGGCGACGTGGTCGGACGGACGTTGAACTTCTATCGCACCGTACGTAGTGCAGCCGTGCGAATCGGATGTGCGCGGGGAGAAGTACACGCAAACTAAACGCAACAAATGGCAAGTTCTAAAGAAGTGAGTTTTCAATGAATAAATAAAAAGCCGTTCCTCTCTCCGTCGTCTCTCGTAATGAGCGTGCCCACCGACCGTGACGTGT